AAACATCGAAGGGTTCAACTTCTAAAACACTTTGTTGGGGAATTTCGTCCCTCTTGGTAATGCCTCCGCTCCTTTGACATCTATCACATCGCGCAACGAATTGGTGGGCGTCTCTATGCATTGTCGGCCACCACAATAAGGATTGAGAGATTTTTTCCGCTGTTTTGTCAACACCACCATGTCCTCCCACATGGTATTGAGTGGCAATGCTCCCTTCCGATAAAGGCCATCTCCACATTGCTTGAATAGGTATGGGTCATTTCAAAAGTATCATCTCAACTCCTTGAAAAACTTTTTCTTTTGTTGAGAAGTGTACTCTGGGGAATGACACCACACGCAAGATAGTTGGCTATATCCGCGTACCAAGGGGTAGAAGTTGACACCAAAGCCATGAGACCCTCGAATCCTATCTCATCATTAATCCGTACATCCTCCTTGTTTCCAAATGGTAGCCTAGAAAAATGATCCACTACATAGTTCTCCGCTCCCTTCTTGTCCCTCATTTCCATGTGAAAATCTTGGAGAGAAAGAACCCAACGGATCAAGCGAGGATTTGCTTCTTTCTTGGTCATGAGATACCGTACCGCGATGTGATCGTGTACACGATAACTTTTGAGCATATGAGATAGGACCGAAACTTATCGAATGCAAACACTACCGCTAACATCTATTTCTCCGTTGTTGTGTAATTCCTTTGAGCCTCATCTAGTGTCCGAATTGCGTAGTAGATGACACATGATTTTCCTTGTTTCTTTTGACCAAGAACGGCACCTACTGCAAAGTCACTAGCATCGCACATTAGCTCAAAAGGCAAGCTCCAATCCGGAGCTTGCAGAACGGGAGATGAAATGAGAGCTTCCTTAAGCTTACGAAACGCCTCAAGGAAAGCCTTATTAAAGTAAAAAATAACCTCTTTTTTAAGTAATTCGGTCAAGGGTTTGGCGATTGAAGAAAAATCTTTGATAAACCTCCGGTAAAAACCGGCATGCCCAAGAAAAGCCCGTACCCCCTTGATGGAAGTAGGAGGGGGCAACTTTTCAATCACCGAAACCTTGGCTGGATCTACTTCAATGCCATTTTTTAAAACCTTATGGCCGAGGACAATGCCCTCCTCAACCATAAAATGGCACTTTTCCGAATTTAAAACCAAACTCGTCTCTTGACACCTTTTCAAAACTTTTTCAAGGTTAAAAAGACAAGTGTCAAAAGACGAGCCACCAACACTAAAATCATCCATGAAAACCTCAATTTCGTTTTCAAGCATCTCAGAGAAAATGGAAGTCATGCATCTTTGAAAAGTATAGGGAGCATTGCATAATCCGAATGGAATTCTTCGGTATGCAAATGTCCCATATGGACATGTGAAAGTAGTTTTCTCTTGATCACTTGGATGGATAGGGATTTGGAAAAATCTGGAATACCCATCCAAGAAACAAAAGAAAGCATGGTTAGAAAGCCTTTCAAGCATTTGGTCCATGAAAGGGAGAGGGAAATGATCTTTCTTGGTGTTTTAGTTCAATCTCCTATAATCAATGCACATTCTCCACCCGGTCACCGTCCGGTTGGAGATTTCCTCTCCCTTTTTATCCTTGATTATGGTCATTCCACCCTTCTTTGGAACCACATGAACCGGGCTAACCCATTTGCTATCAGAGATAGCATAGATGATGCCCGCCTCACGTAGTTTCAAAATTTCTTTCTTCACAACCTCTTGAAGGTGGGGGTTCAACCTTCTTTGAGGTTTAATGGAGGTGGAAGGATCATCTTCAAGATGAATACGATGCATGCATAAAGAAGGGTTAATAACTTTAATATCATCAATGCTATACCCTATCACATCCCTATATTTCCTTAAAACATCAAGAAGTTTTTCCAAATTAAGACCATCTAGGGTAGCATTGATAATAATAGGGTTATTTCCCTCCATATCAAGAAAATCATATTTCAAAGAAGGGGGATGGGGTTTGAGTTCTACCTTGGGAGGAGTCTTAGAACTCTCCTCCAATTTCTCCTCCTTGGACTCAAGCTCGACCTCAACTTGTTGTTCAACTTCCTCCTTTGAGGATTCTCCATTGCCATGACAAATTCTTTAGCCTCTCGAGAGTGAAACTCTTCTTTTGCATGTAAGGGCTTCAATCATTGGATCTTGAGGCCTCATCACGACCCTCCCCAAGAGATCTAGCTCCTCATTCACAACATCAACTTTATAGCATTTTTCAACCAAGGGGGTCTTGAGCAACTTTGAAAATTCAAAGACAATTTTTTCATTGGCCACTTCACAAGAGATGGTGTTGTTCTTGCAATTGATGACCGCCCCCAAAGTTTTAAGAGCTTCACGTCCCCAAATCAAAGGAGTGTTTACATATTCCTCCATATCCATCACTACAAAGTCACAAGGCACATAGATGTGTCCCACCTAAATTGGAACATCCTCAAGCTCTCCACAAGGTAATTTCACCGATCGATCGGCCAATTGAATTGTCTTCCTTGTAGGGATCATCTCTATATTGAGTTTTTGAGCAATGGATAGAGGGATTAAACTAACACTTGTTTCAAGTTCGGCTAAGGCGCCCCTAGCTTCCATGTTCCCAATTTTTACCGGCAAAGTGAAACTTCCCAGGTCTTTTTCATTCTTGGGCATCTTATGTTGGACAAGAGCACTCACTTGATGTGGAAGGGTGATAAGCTCATCATTGAGCTTCCTCTTGTTGGTGAGAATATCTTTGAGGAACTTGGAATAAGATGGCATTTGTGTCACAACTTCAAGAAAAGGGAGGTTGATATGCAAATTCTTCATGACACTAAGAAATTTTGTGAACTTGTCATTCAACTTCCTCTCCGCAAGCCAACCGGGAAAAGGAACCGGTCCATCAAGATTCCTAGCCTCACTAGGAATTGAAGTTGTCTTCTCATTGTCAGTCTTCTTCTTCTCCGAACCTCCTTCTTTCTCATCACCTTTTTCTTTCTCACCTCCCTTTTTTTCATTCACACTCTCCTCTCCTCCCTTCTTTTCCTCACTATCCCCTTCATTTGGTCCTTCATAGGAAGTTCCCGACCTCAATGTGATCGCCTTGCATGTATCGGGTTTTTGATTGTGAGATGGGGTTAGGTTGTGGTTGTCCGGGTAGAGTGGAAGGTGAATTAAAAGGAGTTCTCTCAGCTATTTGAGCTAGTTGTGAATCAACCATCCTGTTGTGAGCTCTTATCTCTTGCATTTGTTTCCCAAAAGATTGCATTTGCACATGCATGGCTTGGAGGAGTTGAGTTTGAGTTAGCTCCGCTTGAGGTGCTTGGGTTTGATTGTTGTATTGGTTGTTCCTTGGATAGCTTCCTCTTGGGTTTTGGGGTTGAGATGGAGGTGGATTTTGATATTGAGGATTGGAGTTATAGGAAGATTGAGCTTTTTGGTTCCATTGTTGAGGTTGAGGTACAAACCCGGGTGGTGGTTGTCTCCAAGATACTCCACCGCCGCTTCCTATAAATCGCTCTTGCCTTGTGTTGTATGCCACTACATGTTCGGGGCTTAAACCTCCACAATAGGTTGTATCATGGTTCGTTCCTCCACAATTTTGACAAGAGAAAGAGTTAACTTGAGAAGAGCTTGCTCCACCACTTGAACTTGCATTCACACTCGTGTTCAATTTGGAAAGCCCTTTTGTTAGTTGAGCAATTTGATGTTGTAATTGATCAACTTTCTCCTATTCATAAATACCACCTCTCTTTGGAGCATTTCTTCTTCGGCCCCCCCAAGAGTAATTCTTTGCTACCTCTTCTATTGTGGCTTCAACTTGATTTTGAGGGATCTTGATTAATTGACCACCCGCCCTCGCATCCAAATTGGCTCTTGACATGGGCTCCAATCCGTCGTAGAAGAACCGCATGAGCAACCCTTGATTGTATTTATGGTGGGGACATGCTTGCACCAACTCTTTGAATCTCTCCTATGCTTCACCAACACTTTCATCGGCTTCTTGCTCAAATGATGCAATTTTCCTTCTCATTTCGGCGGTCTTCTCTTCGGAGATAAAGCGCTTCAAGAACGCCTTTCCAACCTCCCTTCATGTTGTGAGAGAGTTAGGCTTTACTTGCTTTAGCCATTTCTTTGCTCGTCCGGTGAGAGATTGCCGGAAAAGGTGCATACGAATGTAGTCTTGACTCACTTCATTGGTTTGCATCATTGCGCACAATTCAAGGAATCGGTCCAAATGTTTAATAGGGTCCTCACTTGCACTTCCGGAAAATTGCTCCGATTGGACCATTCGAGTATATTGTGGATGGATTGAGAAGTTGGTTTCCGTGACGGGTAGAAAAATCCCTCCCGTGAGCTCATAATCCTCCGGATTTCTGAACACACGAAACAAGACATCATTCTCTTGTCCTGCCATTGATTCGCGTGGTGAACTTGAAGAGTAAGTATCACTCTCACTATCAACTATCACTAGGCGAAAATACGTAATGGCCACCGGTTGAAAACCCCCCATTGCCATCGGTTTTGAAACGGTGGTCATTTGGGGGTGGCAATACAGCAACGCATGGCCACCGGTTCAAAACCGGTGGAAAAAGTCCTCATGGCCACCGGTTAACCGGTGGTAATACTAATTTTGGAGGGGAAGGCTGACTATTGCCACCGGTTTGAACCGGTAAACCGGTGGCAATAATAGGGATCTAATTTATTTATTTTTTTTCCTGCAACTGATCCTGCTATAATATTCTACCATATTATTGCTATAAATTCTGCCATAATATAATTATTATTAATAATCATAACAAGAATTAAAAATATATATTTAGACTTTTATAATTAAAAACCAAATGCAATATAACAAATAAAGTGTGATATATACATAAATACAGACAATACTAATAACTAGTCAATATTGTAGTCTAAAAGTTAATAATTAACAAAGTATAAATTCAAAATGATGCAACATTTACAAATTGAAGGTGATAAAAGATGCCAACATGTCTCGAACTTCATTAAGGTCCTTGCTTGTTAACGCATCTCCCTTTTGCACCTTGCAAAACTTGGAATATATATAAATAAATTATGTTAGAATAAATTAAATTAATTAGTTAAGTTAAACATGTGAGTAATAAATATGTAAAAAATTAAATACTTAGGTCAAAACGGTTAAAAAGAAGGCCTAAAAGACTTCTACTTGCCCATTTTCTACATTTTTAAACAAATGACCAAGTTCTTTCTCACAACACAAAAATTATACTTAGTTATAGGTGGCTAAGCCTTGAAATCACAGAAAAAGGGCATTTTACTAAGTTTAAGGCCGCATTTTCATCCAAAATAGCCTAAATAAGGCCTATTTAACTTCTACTTGCCCATTTTATACATTTTTAACAAATGATCAAGTTCTTTCTCATAACATGTCAATTATACTTAGTATAGGTGGCTAAGCCTTGAAATCACAGAAAAAGAGCATTTTACTAAGTTTAAGGTCGCATTTTTATCCAAAATAGCCTAAATAAGGCCTATTTGACTTCTACTTGCCCATTTTCTACATTTTTAAACAAATGACCAAGTTCTTTCTCATAACATGTCAATTATACTTATTTATAGATGGCTAAGCCTTGAAATCACATAAAAAGAGCATTTTACTAAGTTTAAGGTCACATTTTCATCCAAAATAGCCTAAATAAGGCCTAAATGACATCTACTTGCCCATTTTCTACATTTTTAAACAAATGACAAAGTTCTTTCTCATAACATTTCAATTATACTTATTTATAGGTGGCTAAGCCTTGAAATCACAGAAAAAGAGCATTTTACTAAGATTAAGGTCGCATTTTCATCCAAAATAGCCTAAATAAGGCCTATTTGACTTCTACTTGCCCATTTTCTACATTTTTTAACAAATGACGAAGTTCTTTCTCATAACATTTCAGTTATACTTAGTTATAGGTGGATAAGCCTTGAAATCACAGAAAAAGAGCATTTTACTAAGTTTAAGGTCGCATTTTCATCCAAAATAGCCTAAATAAGGACTAAATGACTTCTACTTGGCCATTTTCTACATTTTTAAACAAATGACCAAGTTCTTTCTCATAACATATCAATTATACTTAGTTATAGGTGGCTAAGCCTTGAAATCACATAAAAAGAGCATTTTACAAAGTTTAAGGTCGTTTTTTCATCCAAAATAGCCTAAAAAACTTCTACTTGCCCATTTTTTACATTTTTAAACAAATGACCAAGTTCTTTCTCATAACATGTCAAGTATACTTGGTTATAGTTGGCTAAGCCTTCAAATCACAGAAAAGCGACATTTTACTAAGTTTAATGTCGCATTTTCATCCAAAATAGCCTAAATAAGGCCTAAATGACTTCTACTTGCCCATTTTCTACATTTTTAAACAAATGACCAAGTTCTTTCTCATAACATGTCAATTATAATTAGTTATAGGTGACTAAGCCTTAAAATCACAGAAAAAGGGCATTTTACTAAGTTTAAGGTTGCATTTTCATCCAAAATAGCCTAAATAAGGCCTAAATGACTTCTACTTGCCCATTTTCTACATTTTTGAACAAATGACCAAGTTATTTATCATAACATGTCAATTATACTTAGTTATAGGTGGATAAGCCTTGAAATCACATAAAAAGAACAATTTACTAAGTTTAAGGTCGCATTTTCATCCAAAATAGCTTAAATAAGGCCTAAATGACTTCTACTTGCCCATTTTCTACATTTTTAAACAAATGACCAAGTTCTTTCTCATAAAATATTAATTATACTTAGTTATAGGTGACTAAGCCTTGAAATCACATAAAAAGGGCATTTTACTAAGTTTAAGGTCGCATTTTCATCCAAAATAGCCTAAATAAGGCCTAAATGACTTCTACTTGCCCGTTTTCTACATTTTTAAACAAATGACCAAGTTCTTTTTCATAAAATATCAATTATACTTAGTTATAGGTGGCTAAGCCTTGAAATCACAGAAAAAGAGTACTTTTTTTAAGTTTAAGGTCGCATTGTCATCCAAAATAGCCTAAATAAGGCCTATTTGACTTCTACTTGTCCTTTTTTTACATTTTGAAACAAATGACGAAGTTATTTCTCATAACATGTCAAGTATACTTGGTTATAGATGGATAAGCCTTCAAATCACAGAAAAATGACATTTTACTAAGTTTAATGTTGCATTTTCATCCAAAATAGCCTAAATAAGGCCTAAATGACTTCTACTTGCCCATTTTCTACATTTTTAAACAAATGACCAAGTTCTTTCTCATAACATGTCAATTATAATTAGTTATAGGTGACTAAGCCTTAAAATCACAGAAAAAGGGCATTTTACTAAGTTTAAGGTTGCATTTTCATCCAAAATAGCCTAAATAAGGCCTAAATGACTTCTACTTGCCCATTTTCTACATTTTTAAACAAATGACAAAGTTATTTATCATAACATGTCAATTATACTTAGTTATAGGTGGATAAGCCTTGAAATCACACAAAAAGAGCATTTTACTAAGTTTAAGGTCGCATTTTCATCCAAAATAGCCTAAATAAGGCCTAAATGACTTCTACTTGCCCATTTTCTACATTTTTAAACCAATGACCAAGTTCTTTCTCATAAAATATCAATTATACTTAGTTATAGGTGGCTAAGCCTTGAAATCACATAAAAAGGGCATTTTACTAAGTTTAAGGTCGCATTTTCATCCAAAATAGCCTAAATAAGGCCTAAATGACTTTTACTTGCCCATTTTCTACATTTTTAAACAAATGACCAAGTTCTTTTTCATAACATATCAATTATACTTAGTTATAGGTGGCTAAGCCTTGAAATCACATAAAAAGAGCATTTTACAAAGTTTAAGGTCGTTTTTTCATCCAAAATAGCCTAAAAAACTTCTATTTGCCCATTTTTTACATTTTTAAACAAATGACCAAGTTCTTTCTCATAACATGTCAAGTATACTTGGTTATAGTTGGCTAAGCCTTCAAATCACAGAAAAGCGACATTTTACTAAGTTTAATGTCGCATTTTCATCCAAAATAGCCTAAATAAGGCCTAAATGACTTCTACTTGCCCATTTTCTACATTTTTAAACAAATGACCAAGTTCTTTCTCATAACATGTCAATTATAATTAGTTTTAGGTGACTAAGCCTTAAAATCACAGAAAAAGGGCATTTTACTAAGTTTAAGGTTGCATTTTCATCCAAAATAGCCTAAATAAGGCCTAAATGACTTCTACTTGCCCATTTTCTACATTTTTGAACAAATGACCAAGTTATTTATCATAACATGTCAATTATACTTAGTTATAGGTGGATAAGCCTTGAAATCACATAAAAAGAACAATTTACTAAGTTTAAGGTCGCATTTTCATCCAAAATAGCTTAAATAAGGCCTAAATGACTTCTACTTGCCCATTTTCTACATTTTTAAACAAATGACCAAGTTCTTTCTCATAACATATTAATTATACTTAGTTATAGGTGACTAAGCCTTGAAATCACATAAAAAGGGCATTTTACTAAGTTTAAGGTCGCATTTTCATCCAAAATAGCCTAAATAAGGCCTAAATGACTTCTACTTGCCCGTTTTCTACATTTTTAAACAAATGACCAAGTTCTTTTTCATAAAATATCAATTATACTTAGTTATAGGTGGCTAAGCCTTGAAATCACAGAAAAAGAGTACTTTTTTTAAGTTTAAGGTCGCATTGTCATCCAAAATAGCCTAAATAAGGCCTATTTGACTTCTACTTGTCCTTTTTTTACATTTTGAAACAAATGACGAAGTTATTTCTCATAACATGTCAAGTATACTTGGTTATAGATGGATAAGCCTTCAAATCACAGAAAAATGACATTTTACTAAGTTTAATGTTGCATTTTCATCCAAAATAGCCTAAATAAGGCCTAAATGACTTCTACTTGCCCATTTTCTACATTTTTAAACAAATGACCAAGTTCTTTCTCATAACATGTCAATTATAATTAGTTATCGGTGACTAAGCCTTAAAATCACAGAAAAAGGGCATTTTACTAAGTTTAAGGTTGCATTTTCATCCAAAATAGCCTAAATAAGGCCTAAATGACTTCTACTTGCCCATTTTCTACATTTTTAAACAAATGACAAAGTTATTTATCATAACATGTCAATTATACTTAGTTATAGGTGGATAAGACTTGAAATCACACAAAAAGAGCATTTTACTAAGTTTAAGGTCGCATTTTCATCCAAAATAGCCTAAATAAGGCCTAAATGACTTCTACTTGCCCATTTTCTACATTTTTAAACCAATGACCAAGTTCTTTCTCATAAAATATCAATTATACTTAGTTATAGGTGGCTAAGCCTTGAAATCACATAAAAAGGGCATTTTACTAAGTTTAAGGTCGCATTTTCATCCAAAATAGCCTAAATAAGGCCTAAATGACTTTTACTTGCCCATTTTCTACATTTTTAAACAAATGATCAAGTTCTTTTTCATAACATGTCATTTATACTTAGTTATAGGTGGCTAAGCCTTGAAATCACAGAAAAAGAGTATTTTACTAAATTTAAGGTCGTATTTTCATCCAAAATAGCCTAAATAAGGCCTATTTGACTTCTACTTGCCCTTTTTTTTACATTTTTAAACAAATGACGAAGTTATTTCTCATAACATGTCAAGTATACTTGGTTATAGATGGATAAGCCTTCAAATCACAGAAAAATGACATTTTACTAAGTTTAATGTTGCATTTTCATCCAAAATAGCCTAAATAAGGCCTAAATGACTTCTACTTGCCCATTTTCTACATTTTTAAACAAATGACCAAGTTCTTTCTCATAACATGTCAATTATAATTAGTTATAGGTGACTAAGCCTTAAAATCACAGAAAAAGGGCATTTTACTAAGTTTAAGGTTGCATTTTCATCCAAAATAGCCTAAAGAATGCATATTTGACTTCTACTTGCCCATTTTCTACATTTTTAAACAAATGACCAAGTTCTTTCTCATAACATGTCAATTATACTTAGTATAGGTGGCTAAGCCTTTAAATCACAGAAAAAGAGCATTTTACTAATTTTAAGGTTGTACCTCATCAAGATGTATGGTGTTGGTACAATGAGTCGCTATGTCAAGCATGAATCTCATCACGTATAATCCACAATCAACTCCATTATCTTGTTGTGGGCACTAGCATAGGAACAAATCTAATGAATCAAACGTCACATAAAATCCACTATTGTTTTAGCAATGTTTATTAAGATAATCACAATATGATGTGGCATTACCATAGGTGATTTCCATGTAGGACCCCGTGGAGCACGACCATGTATCTTCTTCATAATACTATAGGAAAGTAAATTCAAATTTGATTAGTTTGACTACTAAATGAGTTAGGTTAAGATAATTAACACTAGGTATCTATATTTACTTTTGTAGTACAGACATCACGAGGTACTTCTTTGTTGATCGAGCTGAATCAAGGTGAAAGATTGTGTTATTAGCAGGACAAATTACCATGAGGAACCAATGAAACCTACATATATTCACAATACACAAACAAATCAATAATTATGGTACAACAAATAATTCAAATGTAGAAAGAATTGAATTACACATGGTTAAACGTTCTCCTCATAACATGGGGCGAATATGAACTTGTCTCCCGCACGCATTGATTCCCTAATACTATGATTAACATAATACATCACCTCGGGGGAGTTGTGTAAGATTCTAGTCTCGGATGTCTCTTCGGGGCATAACCACCCAACTTTACTAGGGGAATCAGTGTCACTTAAGTGCTCCCATAGTGATCTACGTGCATGTACAATGAAAAATTAATTGACATATATATGAAGGATAAAAAACACTAATATGAATAACATAATTAATTTAAGTGGCATGTGCCCGTACCTCATGAATATTTGAATGAGAGAAATGTTAAGCATTGAACCTCTTAAAAATTCCTTCACATCTTGTTTGTTTAACCATGCACTGGCATCCTCATCATAATGGAACATTGCCTTAGGAAGTGCAATTTCAATGGGATCGTCACTAGGCAAATGACTAAAACGATTATGTAGAAAAGTTAAATCCTTAGTGAGCGATTGAAGGACATTGTCTCCAACAAGTGGAGTAGGTTGCATGGCTGAACCTTTCGAAGAATTCTTTTTCGACACTTGTTCACTCTTCGACCCTTGTTCACTCATCTTCTTTGTAGGTTGATCAACGCTTTTAGGCTTCTCCACCTTCCTTTTCTTTGATGGTTGACTTTTTTTCGAAATCTGATCAAAACAAAGATAATTAGAGTTCAAAAATTTTTGGCCGGGGTTTAAGCGAGTAAGTACGCATGCAGATTTGTTATTTTGCACAACATCAAAATAAATATTACCTCGTTGATCAACCTCACCTAAGCACGTGGCCATTGCACATAGTCGGGGGGAACGGCAAGGGTAAGTTCATTTGCTTCGCCCAAGCATTGAATTCACCTATTAACTCATTGCGAACTTGTTCCTTGATGGATGCCACCTTGGCATCCAATTCTTCCGGTGAGTTAACACTTGCTCGAGATCTTCCCATTTTTGTGTATTCTGAACCCATCACCTTCTCCCATCCTAGCAACTTCCCTCCCATACCTACTACCCGGCCTGGATGGTAGGGCTTTCCCAAAGCCAAGGTGAAGGGGTCTTTCTCTATAGTCGGGACCAGCTTGCCTTCAACAACTTCTGTAGTGTACTCAAGCTGTAGCATTAGAAGAAATGTTAACATGAATACATATAATGCTTTTGTATGGTAAAGTTATGCTAAAGTTTCAAATAGCTTACTAGTTTATCAGCCACTTTTTTTTCCGGCTCCTTGATGACCCATTTTCCGGTGTCCTTATCAAAGGAATGTAGAGAACAAATGAAATCGCCAGCACGACTAACCAACGTAGTGATCGTGGAGTTGGAGGGTTCTTCGGATGACCCTTGAGTCAAAGTGGGGTATATACCCTCCTTCTGCCAAGTTTGCCTCCATTCACCAAATGTCTTGGCCCCCGTACGATGGCGGTACTCCTTCTTCAATTAATTTGCCTTGTTTTGCTCCCGAATTTCCTACATAAATAGTAATGTTAGCATCATTACTGCAAAAAGAGTCAATATATTATACAATTCTCATTAGATTTAGTAGTTCTTACAATTGCTTTGGGTCGAGTTTTTTGAATAACAAAGTATTTCCACTCGTCCTCCGTCACGCTTGACCATTTTTTCCACGGTGGGTCTTGTTCCTCAACATCTTCCTCATTTCCACCTTCACCATCATTTCCCTTGGAAGCTTTCTTCTTGTGTTTCTTTTTCTTATAGATCCATCCAATGGTCAAGTGGGTCTTGAAGCCTCTAAATCTCTCCGCTAGTAAAGAATCAAACACCCTTCTTGTTTCGGGGTTTTCTGATGTCCTGCGGGAGAGTTACAATTCCGAGACTGGAACCGGACGCCTGTACCTGCAAAATAACGGAGACTCCTGAGAGCTCCGCCTCCAACGGTCAAGTTAGTACCTGATTAAGGAGTAATCAATACAGAAATTAAAGTAATGAGATCTCTCTAGGTGAGAGTGCTTAGTGTTGGTAATCTGCGTCGTTAGCGAGATTAGCCGGTTGTTAATAACTTTGTTCTTCTCTGCTTGATTTCTTGATTATTCGATCCCTGTGATTAATGAGGATTAATCGAGTATTTATAGCCTTGAGAAGCGTGCAACTCTCTAGGTTTAAGGTAAACCTAGGGCTGATCGGGCCTCCAGACTGAATTGGGCCTTGATGGCCGGTTTTCCCATTTGGCATGGGTGGACACGTGGCGTGTCTAAAGTGGTCCGTAGAGGACGTATCTGTGATTGACACGTGGCAGGCTCCTGTTGTCCTTCGTGAAGGACACGTGGCGGAACCTGGTTGGTCCACTTGTCAGACGGTGATTGGTGGATAAAAATCCCCTAATCATTTGCCCCTCACAGGTGGCACGTGACTGGTCACGTGTCGCCTGTGACAGGTGTCGCACGGTGACAGGCGACGGCCTGTTACAGGTGTCATCTTGCAAACGGCCGAGAGATTTTCCCGCCCACATTTTGAATTTGGAAGCGACCCTTCGCCTTCTCACTTTGCCTATAAAAGGAAGTGCTGACTTCGGTCATTTTCACATTTGAGAACTTTCCGAGACTATTCGGACCCCAGAACTTGCTCTGACATTTCGGACTTTTTCTGCCTACCGCCTGTTCTGACAAGCCGACTGACCCGAACTTCCAGGACTTCATCAACCGTCACTCGTTCAGGTAACTCAGTTCTCTTACTCTTAATTTTCTTTTTATTTTTTGAAATGGCACCATGGAAGCACACGACACGACCTAAGTTAGTGATCAGCCGGTCACCGGGGACGGCTGAATCTAGGACTAGGAGTGCCGCCTGCCCTTTTCTGGACCCATCTTTGCCCTTTATACAAAGTCCGACTGTATCTGTGTCTATGCAGAACGTGATGGCCAGAACAAAAAAGACTGCTATGATATCAAACTCAGACGGCTCCTCCCAAAGGGTGCTCCTTAGTGAAACATCTGACCAGGCGCCAGATGTAGAATTGAAACGAGGCGACTGTCAAGCCGACAGTTCTGAGAGAGGGGCCAAGGTGTTCCCTTCCCATCTTACCGTTGACATGTCTAATTTTCCTTCTGCTCCTTCTAAGGGAGAGGAGGCGGGCCCCTCTAGGAAAGGGGAGGAGTCGTCCTCCTCGGACTCGTCAGAGGACGAGTCTGAGTCCAGCTCTTCTGGCCACAGTTCTCCTGGCTCAGAAGAAAAACATAGCCGCCTACAAGAGGCGAGACGTTCTCATGCAGTTGAGAAGGGGGACAATTGGGCGGAGCCGTCCGCCTCTTACAGAGAGGAAAACGCCCCCTACTACTGCAGGGTACCCCGGGGCCGGATCGCAACCATGCAAGACAACGTGGCGAGCTTTATTGCTAACCACAAAATGGGCCCGGAATTTTTACTGTTTGTGCCGGATCCAGAAGATACTGTCGTCTGGCCGGCTGGTACCAGCTATGGTGACGGCTGCTTTGGCTGCTATGTGGCAGCCATCAAAGCTGGACTGCGCTTCCCATTACATCCGGCTGTTCAGCGGATTTTAGATGGGTATGATCTGGGGTTATGGCAGTTAGCCCCCAACTCTTGGGTAAACGTACTCGGCTATGTGGCCGGGTGCGAAATGTACGGGGTGGAGCCAAGCTTTGAGGCTTTCGCCCACATGAACTATCTCAGCCGGACCCCTAAGTCGGGAGGTACCGGCTGGTACCAACTAACAAGCCATAGGGGTTACCTCATGACAAAAGGTAAGGCGAACAAATGGAAGGATTGGCGGAACACCTTCCTTATTATCGAGGGTTCAGACACGGAGCTGAACAAACGCTTTAACAAGTGGAATAGGGATCCGCCTCTTCTCGCAGGCGGCCGCAGCATGCCGCCTGTTCCCCCAAAGGCTAAAAAAGAGATCCTAGACAAAGGACTCTTCAAAGTAGAGACCAGGGTGAACTCTACTTCAGGGGTACGAGAGCAAGTACCCCTAAACTGCGTCCCGAGCTTCAAGTGGCTCTATGACGAGTACTTTTTGGCCGCCTGTGGCCTCAGCAGTCGGTGCTCTAGAGGTAGCCGGCCTGACAAATACTCTGTTTTTTCACGCCTTGTTTACTTGGGATTTTTACTAACTTTGCTGTTTATTTCTTGCAGCTGACGCCATGAGTAAAATAACAGCATCCAAGACTGCAGCGGCCATATTGCGGGCCTCGCTCATGAAGCAGTCGTATGCCGACTCCCCCAACAAAGAGGCACCCTTGGTAAACTTCGAAAACTCTTCCTCTTTTAGTTGTCTTATGCATATACTAACTCTTTTTGTTTTCAGTCTGGTACTCCAAGGGCTTCTTCCTCGCAACAGCCGGACCCCAAGGCCCGGAGGACGACTGTTGCAAGCTCTCCTGGGTCTTCCAGGAAAACAGTGGCGGCTGAGAAGCAGCCGGCCACTTCTTCTAAAACTCCGGCGGGGCCGCCTAGAAGTATGGACAATTACTTGTAAAAACTTTTACACTTGCTTCCTTCTTGACTAGGTCTAACTTGTTTTTTTCTTTCGCTTAATGCAGCCGGCCCCCAGGGACTTGACTTGGTTGAGGTAGCCAAGTCTATGGTTAAAGTAGTTCCTCCATCTGACAGGGAGGCGGTCAGGGGTGCCGGTACCCTTGACCTTGATGGAATTTTAGGGGTCCTTGCTGAGGTATACTTAGTATATTTTTGAGCTTTTGAGTTCCAGGACGCCTGTTAACTTTTTTGATTGGAAACTGACGCCTGTTTTTCTTTGTACTTAGGCCCTGCTCCGAGTCAACAGCCTTCGCAAGCCGATTGATCGGAAAAAACAAAGAGGTAAAGGCCGCAAAGGCTATGGCCGCCTCCAGCTGTGATAAGGCAATGTTTCAAATTGCCCAAAATGAAGTACT